TTCTCAGTTCAAATATGTACCTCATGTCAACTCATGGAGAGATATCATGGAGCCTTCTCAGTTCAAATATGTACCTCATGTCAACTCATGGGGAGATATCATGGGGGTTTCTCAGTTCAAATATGTACCTCATGTCAACTCGTGGGAAGTTATCATGGGGGCTTCTCAGTTCAAATATGTACCTCATGTCAACTCATGGGGAGATATCATGGGGGCTTCTCAGTTCAAATATGTACCTCATGTCAGCTTGTGGGAAGTTATCATGGGGGTTTCTCAGATAAGATACAAACCCGAAGTTCTGAATAAGACTTAATTATTATCTAGATTTTGTTTAACTTACAACTCTCTGGTCTGGCATAATCTGCTTGATATCACCATTGAAGAAAGACACAATAATAGTCAGACCATCGGGACTAATCTCTTTGCGTGTTCCATTCGTGAACGTTATTACTCTTCTTCCATTCGGGTATCTACACTCAACCTGAAGTGAAAACGTACATCTTCAATACATTACAAAGCATTTTCAACTAATCTAGTTTTCTGTCGAGTCAATGGGATTTCAGATTGCTTTTTTTTTTGTCATCTGGAGATGAAGTAGAGAAGACCTAAATTGAATGAGCATTCAGATATGTGTTTATGACACTCTACAATAAGAGTGAGATAATGTACATAGTCAGACTTTATTGTGAACCAGTGGACCTATGTTTTTAAAGTACTGGTAACAAGGTCTAAAATTCCTGTGTTAATAGAAATGTTTTTATATTTATATAAATTTGATATTTTTAATGCAATTTTATAATATTTTATTTTACCTCAGAGTTTCTCCAGACCATGTCCTTTCAAGATCATGAGAGCCTCACTGTAAAATCTGTGTTAGAAGCCACGACTTCTATTAACATAGTTGAACTCTGGTGACCTTGCCCTTTGTTATATAATATAATTCCCTTTATCATAGTTTGTTTCAATATAAATATGTTTGTCATAATTAATTTTGAATACAAACAAGTTTTGGGGTTGAACCAACAGTGGGAAATCAGTCTACCGAATGTCCTTAAAAGATGTAAATATCTTACAAAAACATTGGTGCCTTATTTGTTTAATTATTTTAAGGAACATAATTTCCAGCTTTATTGAAAGTAATTGAGATATTTTAGAATAAAAACAAATGTCTCATTGCAAAAAAAAAGTGCTGCATTTAGATGTGAATAGATTCATAAAACATGCAAGATAACAGAAAAATTTAGCTGGCTTTAGTTCAAGTATTTTGTACAGGTGT